TATTATCTGTTTAAAAGTTTATCATAAATAAATAAGTTGAAACACTGAACATAAAAAAGACAATCCAAAGAAAAGTTAGTTTCCACAGAAGACAAACAAGGGGCCAGTAAGTACATGAAAAGATGCTCAGATCACTAGCCAGCAGCAAAACGCAAATGAAACCGTAATGGAGCAGCGCGTCAAGTCGAGGATGAGGCTGTCGGGAAAGTCACGATGCATGCTTGCACAGACAATCCAACAGAGCGGCTACTGAGACAAAACACAACAAAGCAAAATCAATGAACCAGAGGACAGAAGACGTTCCTGGTGAGGGTGTGGAAAAACTGGAACCCACATGTGCTGCTGCTGCTGGTAACAGAAAATGGTATGGTCTCTGTGGAAAACAGTTCAGTGTTTCCTTAAAAAGTTAAACATAGAATAACCATATGACCCAGCAACCCCGTTTATAGGCAAAAGAGCAGGGGTCTGGGACAGGTATGGGCACACACTGCTCACACGGCCAAAAGCTGGAAGCAACCCAAGTGCCCATCAATGGCTGAATGAATAAACCGCATGTGGCCTGTCCATACACTGGAATATTACTCAGCCGTAAAAAGGAAGGGAACCCTAATACATGCTATAACATGGATGAACCCTGAGGACATTTTACCAAGTGAAATAAGCCAGTCACAAAAAAAACACATACTGTACGATTCCACTGATGGGAGGTTCCTAGAGTACTCAAATTCAGAGACAGAAGACAGGGTCTGAGGAGTTAGTGTGTAATGGGGAAGTCTCCGTTTGAGAAGATGGGAAGGCTCTGGTTACAGATGGTGACGGCTGCACAACACCGTGACGGGACTGAACACCACTGAACTGCAATTTAAGATGGCAGGCAGCACGGTGGTTAAGGTGGCTAGGTCCATTAGCCAACCGCACGGTTTGAGTCCTGGACCTGGCAGTTGGAAAATAAGCCGGGTCCATGTGTACTCAAAATCTCAGGAGAAGAGTGGAGGAGAAGGGGCTGTGGCACGGCCAACCTCCCTGGAGCAGTGCTTCCTCATTTTCCTTCTCTCCCTGCCTCCTTCTAGTGAGCTCATGAGCCCTACAGCAAACTGGAGGGGAAAAAATAAAAGCTAACAGATTATATTTTGTCACTTATTCTAAAAACCTGAAAAAAATTTTTTTTATTGCCCGAGGGCATGTGTACTCATGAGACACACGGCAGAAGTGAGCACTCCTCACGGAGGGTAGGGAGCCCTGATGCTTCCTTCATTTCTCCATCCTGTCAGGATCTGGGGCCCACATACTAACATGCCTGGTGTGTTTTTCAAGCTATCAGGCCAGGACACGAACCACAGCTGTGGGATCTGGCTTCCAACGCACAATGCTTAACTACTGCACTACAAATTTAAAGCAATTATAAAAAGACTAACACAACTTGCCTAGAACTCTACATACATACATGTTCCTGTAAAATGATTAAATTATTTTAAGGGTTTTGCCATAGGGCATATGCACTTGCCATGGAAAGAGAGAGCGAGAGAGAGAGAAAGAGGAAAATCACTCCCTGGGAAGATGGCCACGCCGGAATCCCTTCTCCTCCATTCTCCTCTGGGATTCTGGGCACAAGAGACCAGCATGATTTTCATACTATTGGGTCCAGGACTTGAACCGTGGTCATCCATGTGAGAATACAACGCCTTAACCACTATGCCACCTGCTGTAACTGGAGAAATTTGAAAAAGCTTTGTGGACTATACCAGTATCAATTTCCTGGTTTTAACACTGTTCTACAGTCATGCAAAATATCACCACTGGGACAAACTGGGTGAAGGGTACATGGTACCTCCCTGCACAGTTTATTTTAATTTTTACTTTGCTACAGGGTGTGTGCACTCACTGGAGAAAGAGAGAGAAAGTGAGAAACCACTCCCCAGTGGGGGATGGACACACCACTTCTCCTCTAGTCTCCTCTCAGGACTGTGGACACACGCGAGTCCGGCAGGCCCGGGACTCATACTACACAGCTGGCCAACTGGAATCCAGCTGCCTTGACCATCACGCCACTAACCGGCCCCTCCCTGGACACTTTTTCTTTTAACAACTGCTTGTGAATCAATAATTATTTTAAAACAAAAGAAAAATGAAAATGGATGAGCAATCTAAATATAAAATATAAAATACGAACTTTTAGAAGAAAACAGGAGAAACATCAGAAGCACAATCCGTGGAAGAAATAAAGAATGACACTTAGTGAGTTAAGTCACGGCACACTTAGAGAGCATCTGCAAAGCACGCAGCCAGAGAGGGCTCTAGGAAATGCTCTGGGCCTAGAGCCCAGTGCTCAAGGGAGCTGGAGCCCGCGGCTGTGTGAGTTAAATCGAGACACACTTAGAGAGAGCATCTGCAAAGCACGTAGCCCAGAGAGGGCTCTAGGAAATGCTCTGGGCCTAGAGCCCAGTGCTCAAGGGAGCTGGAGCCCGCGGCTGTGGTTTGAAGCCTTGGTGGCTTCAAAGACCTTCTGGGCGCATGTGAAATGAAGGGACTGCAGCATAACCATGCCCCAGCAGCGGTGTTCTCTTTACCTGGTGCTCCCCTGTCCTCTGGCAATCAGAAAAAGAAAGGAAAAGCATCGTCTTAACAGATCATTACAACAACCAACAACCCAATTTTTGAACACGGCAAAGGACAGAAACACTTTACCAAGGAGTGCATTCACATGTCAAATAAACACGAGAAGCTGCTCAACATCATTAGCTGTTAGAGAAATGCAAGGTGGTGTGGTTAAGACGCCTGACTCCCACATGGCCAACTGTGGCGTGAATCCCGAACCTGGCAGCTTGCTTTCTCACTTCCCCTCTCTCTCTCTGGTCAAATTAAAATAGTTAATAATTATAGGGACCAGCAGATGGTGTAATAATTATGTTGCTGGACTCTCACATAGTCAACCGTGGTTCGAGTCTCGGACCCGGTGGCTTAAAAACTCACACCAGGTGCATGTGCACGTGTGCTCAAGATCCCGAGAGAGGAAAGGAGGAGGACTGAGGCATGGCATTCCCCCTCGGGGTGATTTCTCACTTTCTGTCTGTCTGTGGCAAGTGCACGCACCCTACAGCAAAAATTTCTCTCTCTCTCTCTCAAAAAAAAAAAAAAACTTTTTAAAAAAGAGAAATGCATGTTAAAACCAAAAGATGCACGATTAGAAAGACCAAAATAAAACTTCTGACAACCCCACGCTGACAAGGACCCGATGCAGCTGGAATGACGACACGCCGCGAGTGGGAGAGCGGAGAGGGCGGCTGGGCGTCTCCACCAGCAGTTAACCACGCACCTCGGTGGGCCGGGGTCCCACTGCGGGGGAACAAGCGACCCACTGCCTGCTTCCATTCTTACGACCTTCCTGAAGAGACACTCTAGTGACGGGGAGCGCTGGGGGTGCTGGCGGGAGACCAGCGAGTGGGAGTGCGGGTCCTGGGGCCGGTGCAACTATTCTGCGTCCAAACTGTGGGGCAGTGCCCGCAGCCACACGTGTGTTAAAGCTCACAGAGCTGTACACCTAGCCCAAAAAGGTCAACGTTACGGTAACGATAAATGACGCGGCCACGCACTGACAGCTGGGAGACCTGACGGTTTGCGAACGGCAGACCACGGCCCAGTGTGTGCTCCCTGACTGCAGCAGGACAGAGCGCGCCCAGACACCGGAACAGACATCGGTGGCAGGACGCCCCGAGTTCCCACCTCCACCCCGACCATCCTGCAGCAGTGACAATTAGCCTTGGGGGGAGGGGGGGAGGTTCGGGAGAAAAGCGGTCAGCAGATACAAGAATGCACATAAACAAGTAGAGCAGGCTACGGAGGGCACCGCGGCAGAGGGAGAACGCTGCTGGCCACTCGGCATACGCTTCCAAACAACTAAAAGACGAGGGATGTTCTTGAGTGTGTGTGATACAACATAATGTCCAAGATGAAATAACATGAGTATATCTTTTTAACATCTCTTTTTCTAGTATGACACAGGGCACATGTGCTTGCTGGAGAGGGAGACCGAAAAGAGAGAGAAAGCAAGATAGCACCTCCCATGGGGAGTGGCCACGGCGCAACCCCTTCTCCTCTCTCTCCCTCCTTGGAACTTCGGGCAAGTACACGCATGTGCCCTGCGAGTTTTCAAGCCTCCAGGACCGATCCAAACTGTGAGGTTGGTCATGTGGGACCCAGCTGCCTAGGTATCCATCATGCCACAGGCTGGCCCTAAGAAGAATGTATGTATTTGGTTGTTACAGCGTATGAGTGCTTTTTAAAAGACATACTGTATCCCACAAAGATCTACAACTGTTATAAACAGAAGTCACAAAAAAAGCAAAACACAAAACCTCCCAGGGGAACCAGCAGTTGGCGCAATGACTATGTCGCTGGACTCCCACGTAGTCGACCGTGGTTCGCATCCCGGGCCCGGTGGCTTAAAAAACTCACGCCGGGCACGTGTGCGTGCGTGCCCAAGATCCCGAGAGGAGAATGGAGGAGAAGGGACTGCGGTGTGACCATCCCCCCTGGGGGGTGATTTCTCGCTTTCTGTCTCTATGTCTCTGTCTGTCTGTCTGGCGAGCGCACGCGCCCTATAGAGAAAACCTCTCCAAAAAAAAAAAACCCTCCCACAACTAGTCCTAAGATCCGACCACTTATATACTGAGCCTGAGTCATGAAAGTCAGGTGCTGTCTCCCCCACCCCCGTGTGTGGTATCTACTCACATCTAGGTACGTCCACGTTGCTGGGCTTAGCCCCGCTTGCACCCCCACTCCACTGGGACAGGCCCTCCTCTATGGCAGTTTCCTCACACGCAGGCCGTCCTAGAGGTGCCTGTGTACCTCTGCCCACTTTCTACGGCATCCGACATTACTTCTTAGGGACACTCTGGAGGGCTGAGTGTGCAAAGCCTCCTCTGCCATCTGTTACTTGCCATACCAGGGACCGTATTGTCACCTAAGTTCCCACAGTTTATCCAACGAAAAAATCCACTTACCTGGAAGAGTATAAAGATGAGAAACAGCTCATAGACCACACTAACGCACAGCCAAAACCTCCAGTAAGCTGCAACGACACAGAGGGCATGGAGGTTAGAGTGCCCCAGGTCCAGGGCCTCCAATGCCCTGCCCGCCCAGGCTGTTCCTGGCAGAAGCCCCAGGCCCACCCCCACGTGGCTCCTATAGGCACCATGTCTATTCCAGACCCCTCACGTGCCCTTGGTAGAACTTTTATAAAGAAAGCTCTAACTCAGAATTAAGGACACCATTTCTCTCAGAAATGTTGTTTCCTTCATTTTCTTCCATTTCTTTTCTTTTTTTTTTTTTTTTGGAGGGTTTTTTGCTATAATGCGTTGGGCAGAGGAAGAGACAGACAGCCAGAAAGTGAGAAATCACCCCCGAGGGGGGATGGCCACACCACAATCCCTTCTCCTCCTTTCTCCTCTCGGAATTTTGGACATGCAACACACACGCGCCTGGTGTGAGTTTAAGCCACCGGACCTGGGACTAGAACCGCAGTCGAATGCATGGGAGTCCAGTGGCGTAGTCATTACTAATGCCAACTGCTGGTCCCTATTTTCTTCCATTTCACTCCTTAAATCTTTGAATCCTTTTTCTTGTCTTATTACTGTGGCACAGAAGGTCCATCAACTGTTGAACAGAAGCAGTGACAGCAAATGCCCTTGTCTTGTGTTTGATACTAATGCTTCTAACCTTCCATCACTAAGTCAGTCTCCAGTAGGTTTTAGGTGAACAGCTTCGTCATAGTATTGAGAAATTCTTTTGAGGACCAGCAGATGGTGTAATGGCTGTCGCTGGACTCCCATGTAGTCAACTGCAGTTAGAATCCTGGACCTGGTGGCTTAAACTCACGCCGGGCACGTGTGCATGCATGCCCAAGATCCCGAGAGGAGAATGGAGAAGAAGGGACTGCAGTGTGGCCATCCCCTCTGGAGGGTGATTTCTCGCTTTCTGTCTCTCTGTCTCTCTCTATCTTTCTGGAGAGCACACGTGCCCTATAGCAAAAACCTCTCTAAAAAAAAAAATTCTTTTGGAACCAGCAGGTTGGTGGTTAAGGCACTGGACACTCCCACATGGCTGACTGGTTCAAGTGCTGGACCTGGTGGCTTGCTTTCCTGTTTTACCTCTCTCTCTCTCTGGCCAAAAAAAAAAAAAAAAAAAAAAAAAAAAAGGGGCAAGCAGATGGCGTGGTGGCTAAAGGTGCTGGACTCCCACACAGCTGACCATGGTTCAAGTTCCAGACCTGGTGGTTTGCTTTTTCGCTTTCCCTCTTACTCTGATCAAACTAGAAAATAATAATAATAAATAAAGTTAAATAATTCTTTTTTAAAGAACAAGTGAGTAAATTTTAAAAAACAGTAATAAAGGCTACTGCCATTTAAAAAAAGAAAACTTTTGGGACCAACAGTTAGCGCAATGGCTATGTTGCTGGACTCTCATGTAGTCGACTGCGGTTCGTGTCCCGGATCTGGTAGTTTAAAACTCACACCGGGCGCGTGTGCACACGTGCCCAAGATCCTGAGAGGAGAATGGAGAAGGGATTGTGGCGTGGCCATTGCCCTTGGGGGGTGATTTCTCGCTTTCTGTCTCTCTGTCTCTCTCTGTCTGGCGAGTGCACGCACCCTATAGCAAGAACCTCTCCAAAAAAAAAAAAAAAAGTGAAAAAAAAAAAGAAGGAAAAAAAGTAACTTTTAATTCCAGCATACTAAGTTTTACATCAAATGAGCATGAGCACCATTTTTCTGCATTTAAGAGGATTTTTCCTTTAACATGTTAGTGGATGAATCACATTCGCCGGAGGCTCTCTGGGCAGAGCTGGTGCCTGTCTGGGGGACGCAGCCCTGAAGGTTATGAAAAGCCGACCCTGCAAGGCAGGAAGTACACACGTGGAAAGTTTGCTACGGTCCTTCTGGAATACGGGACAGAAAACAGGTTACAAACTTAAAGCTTCATGCCCTGGTTGCAGGGGGCGGGATCTTTCTGGAAAATTCTCACTGGTGCAAGAGCTGGAACAGCAGCAGAAAGGGCCTGTGTGAAATGAACTCTGGGGCAGCCTTTCCCCTCCAGGGCTCACAGAACAGCCAAGACGAGCCGCCCCGCACAGGCCGCACTGTCCCCAGCGAGCTCTATGTGGGGACCACAGCTCTCCAGCAGTGCTCTCCAGTCCCCATGTCTGAAACTGAACTCGCCTGTCCCCCATCCGCCTGTCTTCCAGAAGGTGGGTCACCTCAGACTCCTCCGCACTCCCATTTAGACCCACCCAGGGGCCCAGCCCTGCTGGCTCCACCTCTAAGCATCCAGCAGCCAGGTCACCTGTTCCCCTCCCTCTCCCCTGAAGCTGGTCTCCCTGATTCCTGCTCCCCTACCCCTGGCCCAGCACAGCACTCTCCCCAAACTCCGAATCTCTGAGGACACACACAGGGCCGACAGGTGCCATGGTGGTTACGGCGCTGGGCTCCCACATGCCCACCCAGTCTGAGTCTCGGACCTGGGGGCTTGCTTTCTCACTCTTCCTTTCTCTCACCGTCTCTTCAGTCAGACAAACAAATAAAACAATATGAGAATGAAATCCATGAAAAACACGCACGCACACAGGCGGCCTCAGTAGTTCTGGCGACGTTCTGATTTACTTGGCTTCTAGGTCCCCGCAGGAAAGCAGAAGTCACCGAGGGAGGGACGGAGGGACACAAACACCCTCAGGGGAAGCTGGAGCCAGTGCAGGCTTCCAACCAGGACAGCTCCCTGCCAGGCCAGGCAGTGGGGACCAGGAAACCTCCCCAGGGGAGCAGTGCTCCACTCAAACCCACTCTGAGGCAGAGGCTGGGGGAAGCTGGCTCCAGGACAGTCGGTCAGGGCCCGGAAACAAACACGCGGTTTACGCAAACGAGAGGGAAGAAAGGCAAAGCTGAGAACAAACACGCAGAAGCCACGCGCACTCCACTCAGTCAAGGGCAGGGGAGGCGCTGGGGGAGGGCACTTCCCAGCCTCTCAGACCAGCATGGCCTGCCCACCCCGGGGACCTTCAGGGACCTGAAGCTGAGCTCTCAGGCTGGGCAGGGCTGCTTCCCGCCCCTCCTATCCCCACACAAAGGTGGGCCACAGACTCCCTCACTCTTGGGAGCGCACCGGGGGCCAAGTGCTGGGAGAAGCCACGGCGACCCGTCTGAGCCCAGGCCCAGGCCCAGGTCACTGCACTGCTCGCTGCTGTGTCCTGCACCCAGCCCCCCCCCCCCCCCCAGGAAAAAAAAACCCCCCCACCCAGGGATCCCCGCGCCTTCAGGCAGGAGAGCACTGGCTAAGCTTCCTGTAGCTTTTATCCCCAAGTGACAAGCTCCTCATTGCCCCTGCTCGGCCACTGGTGACCCGGGAGTTTCCAACCCTGACTTGGCGTTTCCAGTGCTCCGGCTGGCAGTCCCAGCCCCCTGAGGCAGGACTGAGAGCGCCCAGGCGGTGCAGACAGGAGGCCCGCTGACCTGCACAGCCCCGCTCCTGCCCACAGGGGTCATTCCTCTGCTACACTCCTCTGCCAGGCCTGTAGGAGCCCTTCTGCCAGATCCCCGCAAAAGGGGGGCATCACACCAGGGCACTAACTGGCCCTTGGCAGACACTTCCCTTCAAGAGGGCAATTAGTAATGCGCATCTGGGCCTAAGATGGCCACGCCCTTGAACCCAGTACTCCTACTTGCAGGACATCTTCTTAAAAGGACAATGAGGGGACCAGCAGATGGCGTGATGGCTACCTTACTGGACTCCCATGTGGTCAGTCACAGTTTGAGTCCCGGACCCGGCGGCTTAAACTCATGCTGGGTGTGTGTGCGTGCGTGCCCCAAATCCCAGGGAGAATGGAGAAGGGACTGCAGCATGGCCATCCCACCTGGGGGGGTGATTTCTCACTTTCTGTCTCTCTGGAGAGTGCACACACCCCACAGTAAATATCTCTCTTAAAAAAAAAAAAAAAAAAAAAGACAACGAAAGGCCCCAGCAGATGATGTAGAGGTTAAGTTGCTAGATTCTTACATGGCCGACCACGGTTCAAGTCCTGGACCTGGTGGTTGAAAAATCATGCCAGGTGCATGCTCAAGATCCCAGGAGGAGAAGAGACTGTGGCGTGGTCATTCTCTCCCAGAGGGTGATCTCTCACTTTCCCTCTCACTGTCTCCGTCTCTCTCTGGCGAGCACACAGGGCCTAATGCAAAAACGTCTTAAAAAAAAAAAAGATCAGTATGTACACGGGCCTATTCCGTGCACAGTCACCACAACCTCGCTAGTTATAGTACGGTTGGGACCCTCCTGCATACAGACACGACACTGATCCAGGACACTACACTACACTCGAACAGCACCTGAATACGCAGCCATTACAAACCCAGTGGTCTACGCTGGGAAAAACCGTTTTGTATGCTGTAAAATGTACAGTGATTTAATGGAAATTTTAAAAAAATGATCAAGCCCTCCCCCAAAAATCTAGTTGTCAAACAGAATTAGGGAATAAGAGCATGCCGTGTTAAACTAAGTGAAACTGCCATGATGCAGAACCACACGTGCGGTAGAGCCCCGAAGCTCTAAGGCTGTGCACACGTGTATGTATACAAGCACATCAGAACTCAACAGTGGTGACTATGTTGTGGGTGGTTTTCATATTTAATTTATTTTTTAATTTTCCACAATATATACTGCTACAGAGACAGATGAGAAATAGGTTTCTAATCACTAAGTTGAGATTCTCAGGAAGTTAACCCACCACTTAGTGGCCTGAGCTGGCCCTCTTCCGGGTTCGGGGGGGCAGCAGAGGGTGTGGCTTGTGCCCTCTGGCTGTTAGAACTTGCCATGACAGGGTGGGGGACGCAGGGAGAGAGCGCCTGGTGATCACTGCAGGGCAGGGGCGGGCGGGCACTCACTGCCTCAGCTGGAGGCCATGCTAGCCTCACATGGCGGTGCTTCAGGCCTGCAGGGAGGCTGGGCAGGACAGCCACGGGCCAGGCTGCAGGGCACAGGGCCTGAGAAGAGCCTGCAGGAACCTTAGTGACTGAGGCAAAGGGAATCTGC